TTGTTTTTACATTACGTTTTTTATGAATTGAACAACAGAAAAATCGATCTAATCGATCAAATAATCGCCCGATTAATCGTTTTCTAAATAATCGTTTCCCCCCAGCACTAACATGCACACACACACCCACACACCCACACACACACACACACACACACACACACACACACACACACACACACACACACACACACACACACACACACACACACACAAATAAAACCTTTTGAATTAATATAGTTGTTTTTTCTATTTCTTCTGAATTGTAGAAATCCTTGGTGTTTCAATACCCTCGTAGCACATTGTTGCCCTGAGGCAACAAACCAACCCCTGGTTGAGGGGTGTGGGGGGGGTCACATTTTATAATTAATAAAATATCATGGTGAAACATTTTTTTCCTCCCAAAATAAAAAGTCATGCCATAGAGGGTTAATTTCTCGAAGCTTCAGTTACAGCGACCTCTCCTGGCGAAGTGCAAGGCTGCAGTGGGTTTAACGTATCTTTGCCTTGAAAAATATCCGATGCACCCACACACTAAGACTGAATATCATGTTATATTTGCAATTAAAGATTGATAATTGTGTGTATTGGGTTATTGAGAAGAGAGTGCTGGAAAAGGTGTTATTGCTTGGGTGTGCTTGTGTAATTATGGCAGGTGGTGATTATGTGGGATGGGGAACACTCAAATATCTTTATTGAGGTAGCCTACATTATTCTTTTAATTTAGTATTTTTCTAAAGGCATTTTCTTTGGCCGGAGAGGGCCTTTTATCAGTTATATTATTAAAGTTGAAAAGTGGGCAATGATTAAAAGTTCATCCAATCCAGGATTTGAACCAGTTGCACAGGGTTAGGGTTAGGGTCAAGGCCTGCAGGCCGCCTGCTCTATCCACTGGGCTATCTATTCTTTAAGCTTGTAGACATTCTCATAATTGCGCGGGCACACAGACTCACAAATGTCTTGCAAATGTTAAGTGAACAGCAACTTTAGTTCCCTTAAAGTCGTGCAGAAAATAAGTTAATCCCAAATGTAAATACTGTGACACCAAGGATGCAATACATTCTCTATAATATGTGCCTGTTGACAAATATATCTTTTTTTTTCTTTTTCTCTCAGTGCGACTGGAAATCAGTGAAGATTAATCAGAGGCATCAGTTGAACAAATGCAACTTTTTTCCTTTAACGGATCAAAGGGAATTAAATAGAGAGCGATAACAATTCACCACACAGGGGCACCAACAACCTGATGGCTGGTGACACTTTCGAAGAGGCTTTAAATGAAATTGTGGCTGCTGTGGCAGACCTTCCGATTACCTTCACCGGGAGAAACCTGACTTTCTCAGACAACCTGACCGTGAGCAACAACGTCAAGGTGTCCGATGCCAACAGCAACCTGACTTTGACACGACACACAGGTGGCCGATAATAACAATAGTAATCCCAAAGACAAGGAGCCGCATGTTGGCCATGGAACATGGAAACTGGAGGAAGAGCGACGTACTGTGTTGGTCAACAGCGAGGCGTCAGCAGTGAATAGCAACATGACACAATGTTCATTTTGCATTGAAGAAGTTTCTGCATGGGTCAAATAATAGGACAATGCTCCCATCTGCTGGAAATGTATTGAAACATCATACCTATTTATCATACAGAGGGGAAATGTACATTGTTACAGCGTAAAAGAGCCAAAGACAGCTTAATGTTACCTAAGCATGCATACAAAAAAAGTACTACGGATTAAAAAAAAATGATAATCAAAAAGTTACAAATGTTACAAAAATAATTAAAAAAGTTGCACATTTTACAAAAAATACACATCCTGTAACAGTTCTGAGTATTTAGCAGCCAGGTATAAATTGCACAGTTTTTAACGGCATATGTATTGCACATCGATGGTATTTAACAACAAGAGGTGTTATAGTCTGTGTTGTAGTGTGTGTGTGTGTGTGGGGGGGGGGGGGTCTACTAAGGACTGTGCTGGTTATATAGCCTGAACGCTGCAGGAAGGAAGGACCTGCGGTATCTCTCAGTGAGACAGCGGGGGTGCAGCAGCCTGTCGCTGAAGGAGCTGCAGAGTGCAGACAGGGAAGGCTTCTCAATTATCAAATGTTCCCTCCTCGACTGCTATGATGACAGGAGGCACAGCAGCATGTCTGATGGACAGATGTGTTCATGACGACTTATACATTTACTTTTAGTTCATTCACAGTGCGGTATAATGAGACAATAACAGGCTACAGATGAGGACACACACACACACACATATATAAATAATATACAATTTCAGAATCAAACAAGTATGAGAGTTCACTCTCATAATGACGTAACACAATCAGAGACTGGATACATCTAACTAACTAATCAGAAGAACGGAGACTAAAACAGCAATGTAGAGATGAATCAGATGACTAAACATGATCTAAAAATTTATTTTAAGATATATATTTTTTGTATATTTTCGGAATTATTATATTAATTACTTTATGCTGACAATAGGTGACGAGTCGCCACTGATTGTAACAAATAAAAAATGCAGGACTACAAACGGAGTTTATCAACATCATTCTTAATAGCCTCAAACTGAATTAATCTACAATTTGACCTTAATTGAAAAGGTTCTTGTGTTGGAGACACAACAAAAGAACACTGACATATTTCATGCTATATCGTGTGAATGTGGAGGGGGGTGCAGAAGTATAACCTCTGTGTGGTTAAAGTGTGAAAAAGATCATGATAGACCATGAAGGTGTGAAGAAAGCTGTGGGAACAACTCTGTTGTGAAACTTTCCTGTGCTTACTCATTATTAGAAACATTAAAATATAGTCCAGAGTCTCTTTTTTGACAAAAATAAATGTAATCTTATCATTAACCCCTTATAACCACTCTCCTTGTTAATCAAGGAATATACAGATCTAAACTTCAGAAACTACATGAATTTATTGAAAAAGTGCAAATTGTTGGTAACATTATGTATAATTAAATGTTTTAATATGTTTTGACGTCAAAACATAATAAAACATTTAAAGTTATTCCCGTATCACACAAAAAAACACAAGTTAGGCATGATTTATATACATTTAAAACTACTTTAATACTACACTACAAAACTAACAAAATAGCATTTACATCTCCAAGACAAAGAACCAAGTATATAAATGCAAAAAATAGAACACATACTCTATGGTTCCGTGGGTGAATTATGTCAACCCACCACAGACGCCCCCCCCAGAATAGTCAAAATCCTCGCGTCGGGGAGGAAGGACCACCCGACCCCGCCGGGTAAGGACCACAGGGGCCGAGGAGGGTGGGGCCAAGGGCGTTAACAAGGGCGAGGGCACCCCGACAGGGGGCGGGGCATGGGAAGATGAGCACACATGAGCAGGCTTAATCCTAATTAACTAACAAATGGAAACAAAATCTGCCGACCGTAGTCCGGGGGACACCCGGAAAGCTGGGTTGCTGTGCTGCGACGTGGGGACGGGTGTGAATGTCCCGGCGGTCTCCAGCAGGGAGGAGCGCTGCCTGGCCGCAGACCAGGGCACCGTGGCGGCCGGAATGAATTCCCCGGGGACTCATAGCGTCTGGCCATACACGAGCTCCGCCAACGAGGATTGCAGGTCTTCTTTGTGCACCTGAGGCAGAGCATAACTCACAGAAGCTTATCTACCCAGTTGCCGTGGATCGGTGGAAACGCTCACATAAGCCTTTAGCCTGGGGGTGATAGGCGGTGCGGTGCAGCTTGACCCCCAAACCCTCTGCAACAGCGTTCCAGAGCTCCCAGGTGAACTGAGAGCCGCAGTCAGAGGAGAGGTCAGTCGGGGTCCCAAAGCGCGCCACCCACGTGCCAATAAACGCGAGGGCCACGTCAGAAGATGCCGTCGAGGTGTTTTCCCTCATGTGTCTGATTGTTTTCACCTGTTGCCCTTGTGTTTCTGCCTCCCCTGTCCAGCTGTGTCTTGTCCTGTGATTACCCTTCTTTGTATTTAGTCTTCCCCTGTGCTCCTGGTCGGTTCATTGTCTTTCCTGTCACCCTTCATGTTTGTCACGGTTAGTTTTGTCTGGATGCTACCTCGTGTTACCTACTCTTTGGATTACCTCGTGTTACCTACTCTTTGGATTCATGGTTTTGTTAAGTATTTTTCATTGTCAACAGCTTTTTTTTGTAAATAAAGCTCGCTTTTTGTTACATTTTGAAACCCGCTTCCCTTTTTAAACTGCATTTGGGTCCTACCTTTTCCCGAATCTTAACAGTATTTCTGAGGCATACGTTTATATGATCATTATAGGTATGACAAAATAAGAGAATAAATGACAAACAGGTATGAAACAAGAATACAGTTTAAAAGGGGAGTGATTTCAAAAATATCCATAAAGAAATAGAAAATCGGTTTACAGTTATGTTTCATATGTGTCCATAGATCTGTAAATGTTGCTCTCAAAGTGCACCAGATTGATGCTTAATTTAAAAAAAAAAATGTAAATCTTCCCGGGGGAGCATGCCCCCGGACCCCCCTAGAGGATGTTAGGACCACCCCCACTTATAAAATTGCACTTTACCTCTGCCTACACCTATGCCGTGAGCTGATTATCGAGCCTTCAGTGTAACAGGCGTGGGTATACTGTGCGTGGAGAGTGTTGCAGTAGAAAATTCAACTGTAGCCCAGTAATGGGAAACCCTACATGTTTGAGCACCCTCTATGAAACGTTAAGCTACCCCACAGCACCCCCAAAATAAAATCTCTGGCGCCGCCACTGCGTGCTGTCAAAAGCTGCTTCATAATTTTGGTTTCGCAATCCCTGCTTGAATGTTTGTTTGCTGTGGTCCACCACACAAACACTCATTTGCACGCACACCAATTATTCAAAACCTCCACACAGTTTTCCCATACGCTTAAGACGTGTGAATGTGGGCGTAAGTGTGAAAATGTGTGACCTGCCTGTCACGAAGGCAAGGTATATATAAAGTTCTATGAGTCCTGAACACATGCTGAGGGCCGGTTGTCTGAAACCTTTGACCTGAGGACTTCACCTAGTGCACAACATCTTCCCATCCTTAAGGCTGGTGAGTTGAGATTTTAAATCATATTTTGATCATAACTTTTTTTCTGAAATAGTTTTTTTGCATTTGCCATGCCACTGTCCTAACCTATATGTGTTACTGGTACAAATGATGATGCAGCTCATTGTTTGTGACTTGCTTTGAGTATCTGCTTGGATTCAACAAATTTCCTGACTGCAGTGATGGAGGGCAACATGTGGATCTTTGCAACACTGGGTCTAATCATTTGCTGGATTATGCCTGTTGACTCCATGGCGGTGAGTTGAGCATGTGGAAGTGGGTGGACATTCCCAAGAATGGCAGGGAAATATATTTACATATTTACCATGATTTCTGGGTGCAAAAATATTAGAAAATATGTTTTTCATTAAGAGATTTAGTGAAATGTTAGAATATTTATGCTTTTAATATCTGTGCATCTGTTTTGATTAATCCTCTATTATGCACCTGAACAGGTTAGGGAACAAATTATCATTAACAGTGCATTTTGCATTAACTTATTAGTTAATGGACATACCATTTATTTTGTTTAATATTGTATTCTTGATAAACTACAGCAACAGGGATATTGCACAAGTGTAAGCATGTGCTATGGTTGCAGTGTTACTTACCATTATTCACTGATTTAGGTTCACTCAATCAAATATGTAATGGTGGGTGTGGCATCACAACGCAATAACATCCACCACAAAACTTTTTTTTAAAGATTGGAACAATGTTCTCCTCTCTTTTCCCATTTTAGATACGTTTTAACTTCACTCTGCGAGAAGCCAACATCCCATTGAGCATGGTTGAAGATTCGGTTGATGACATGTATTTTGGCTGCAATGAACAAATGATGACAATAGTGAAGGACAAATTCCTTCCAGAAGAAAAATCTGTGAAACATTTTGGAAAACACTGGAGTGCGGCACAATCTTGTGCAAAAAAGAAATTTGATCAGAGAGAGGATAAGGCTCTAACCATAGATCACATTAGTGCAATCTGTGTTTACACAGCTAACAATGTTTACGAGGAATTTAATACTGCAGTCCGGACAAAAGGGAGGTCCTATCTCTCCTTATTCAAATACCACTATTTACATTACCTGCTGACATCTGCCATACAGATCTTGAATAACAACGACTACTGTCACTCTACTTTCAGACGAACCAAATGTATAGTTACTGGCAAAGTCAACCAAATAATTCGGTTTGGCTCCTTTACCTCAACATCTTACAAACCATACTTGACGCACTTCGGTAATGAGACCTGCTTCAAAATTAAGACCTGTTTAGGCGCATCTCTGAAAAATTATCCAGTCCTACGTGATCACGAGGCAGAGGTTCTCATTCCTCCCTATGAGACATTCAAGATAACTGAGATAATCAAAGGTCGGGACAAAATTCAAGGTCTGGGGGATTGTGAAGTTGTCTTTGTCTTGGTGAGTGCAGGGACCAAGAGCTCTCTGAACTGCAATGTTGTGCATTTGAAATGAAGCTGTATTGGTCCAAAAATGGAAAATGCTATGTCCATCTTTAAACCTTCTAACTATCTTTTCATAAATGAATTAGTTACACAGTGTTAAACATGGCTTTATATTCTTTACGCTGCTTAATTCTAATGCTCAGGCTTTGTTCAATCATTGTAGACTTGTTTAATCCACTTATCCAGCAATGTGGTATATTTTCTTTGTCCAATTACTAAGATACTTTTAAGACCTGTATTGTTGTAATTTTCAAAAATAAACCTACAACTCATTAAACTGTCAAAAATCCAATATTGTGACTTCTGTTCTAATTGTTTTGTGTCATGTTTTATTCAAATGTTTACTCTAACATTTACACTACAACCCATCAGCTGGTTGTAAAAAGCGTCTTTTACAGTCACATTATAAAATATATATTTCAACATGTTATTTTTGTATGTAAATAAAGAAGGTGTGATGTGTTGGTATGTCAGCTTTGACAAAGCTGGGCTCAGTAATACAAACTTGGCCTTCTCTGTTGCGTAATTGTAGAAAAATTATCTAACCATCAAATTAAGGAACCGAAGTCTCAATTTGGTGAAGCTATTTTTAAAATGCTACAAATTATATTTTATATATTATCAGAGATTTGAAAAAACTCTTCAATAATCAGGATAGACTGATGTGAAATAGAAATTCGCAACGATATCCCTCTAGATAATTAGGGCTTGATTTGACCTGGAGTTGTACTGTACTCTCCAGCCAACAGATTGCCAAAATAGGTAAACAAGAAAAATGAATAATGTTTCAGAAATATTTTTATTAAAGTTGTAAAACAAAACAAAATCCACACTGTGCATTCTTATAGTGTTTAAGGTATTAGCATGTCAGCTTTAATTCTAAGAAACAAGAAGAGTAAACCAATGAAATGTGTGTAAGGTTTGGATCAGGCAGACGTGCTATAATATATGTCATGACAGAGTTGGGTGCATCAAGGAACCAGAGAAGGTGTGTAGCCCTCGACATTCCTGCATAGCTGCCTGCCGCTCAGCAGCTACTACACAAACACTAGTACAGATATTTAGAATTTAGAAAAACTAGACAAACTCTATAGTTTTGCTATATGATGTGAACTAACGAGGGCTAGAAATATAATTGTTTTAATGTTACAAGATTATCCTGCATAAAACTGCTACAACAATAGCTTTTGTTTGAAAATTGAGAGTTTGAGAGTGTTGACTCACTGCAGTCCAGCACAGAATCTCCTCTTCGATCTTTATCTACATTACATCGTATTTACAATAATTTGATCCAGTGGTTATCCTAAACAACAATAAAAGGTAAATGAAAATATACAAATACTGAGAACGTAAGGGTCTTGTAGTAATATGCACAATGACAGCTTGTAAAGGATGTTGCTTTTCTCGTCTTTTTTATTTCCAAGTGGGTGAGGACATCTCTGAGTCTAGTAAACTGGCATCCCACTGGTTTTCTTCCTCTCCCATACCCACTTTCAGCCCTGTGCTGCAGGACCATCCTGATAAGCTCCCCAGTGTGTAAAGTTGTCTAAAGATTGTATTTAGAGAGCCTGTGTATATAGTTATAAGGTCAAAGGTCATTTAGTTTGATGGCTATGATAAGCCTGTTGCATTATCCTTCTGCACCTATTGGAAACTGATGGCACCGGATCAAAGAAGGTCATACAGTAGGAGATAAACACAACCCCAAATGCTTAATATTTGTAATTAAAATATGCTGGATGTGCAACAAGTAATTTTACCATATCAACTTTATAAGGTGATCATTTATGTTTACATGAAAAAACACAAGTGATTGCTCCACAAATGTTCTACTATATTCCATTCTTTATTTGATTATTTCTTCATTATGTATTAAGATCACAGTGATTATATGCAGTGATAGTGCACGAGTTGAGCATGGAAATGCAGAGAATACAGTTGATTATGGTGTTCAATGGCACAAAACCCAGGTGATGCTTATCAGCTCAGGCCTATTGTGTGAGACGTGGAGGAGGTAAGCCATTTTTTTTAAAACATGTGCATCATACAAGAGCATTAAAATGGTTCCTCAGGATCCTTCATAAATGCCATCAGTATCATATGACAAGGTGGCCCCAGAATAAAAGTGAATATTGAGTGTTTATTGTTCTACAAGGGCCCATTGTGTTGTGGTATCCCAGTTATCTTTTGAAATCAGCCGGCTAGCTTTAAGTCAGGGTTAGTCACTGATAACATTTACAAAAAAAAACTGTCAAAAATGTTAATCCACTCCTGTTGTTTTCCGTTTGCTTAAATGTATTGTGTAGTATATAAGCTCACAAAGATTGTTAAAAAAAACTAAATATTTCACTTTGATACGTCTACAGTATATGAATGTCATGTATGGCAGAGGTATGTAAAATATGTATAATAGCACACAGTTTAAATTGTACACTTGCTTAGAAACCAGTGTGCACTGTAAAAGCTCCAGGATCTTAAATGTGGTTTGAGAGGATTAATAAAATGTATACTCTTACAATGTATGACTCTTAAGATTCTCGCATTCACTTCTATTATAACACATCTTTCAACCTTACATGACTTTGGAGGAAAATAAAATTGCATGAAAAGATACATTATATGAGCATCAACAATCACAGCATAATGTTGTCACTAAGTAAAACATAAATGGATTAAACATGATGTATCCTGTACCGTAGCTTCATCAGTTCAGTATGATAACACTGTTTGTTACATGTTTCTCTTGTTAACGTAGTTGTCATTTAAATATATGAATATATACCATGAATATTTGGGAGTGTTTGGTCCTGTAAGCTACGTGATATGCTTAGCAAGTGTGGTTTCTTGAAACCAGCAAAGGTCCATTACATCAAGCTAAGTGGGAATAGCAGCACATTACTGTATAGCAAAGCATTCATGCTAGCGGCTACATCAATACTAAGGCACAAAGTTTCTATAAAGCATGCTTGATTAGAAGTACAGTTTTATCTTTTGATCCCTGTAGTATCATCGTGTACAGAACACTATCACATATTCATGCTTCATCTCATTAAACATTTGTGTACTTACGGCATAGTATTTTGAATATCTTAAAATTATTTTCAGGAAATCGTGTCTTTAAGTTATTCATCGTGCTTGTCACTTGTGAAAACCTTGAAACTCCAATTATATATAGTTGTGTTTTTACAGACCCAATAAGTATTATAATTGTGATAGGCCCAAAAAACTACAGTATATTTGTTCCTTCTTAAAAAATATAAGATTCAATGAATTAAATGTTTCTTTAACATCTCCTGATTTTAAGTTAGCGAACAATGTTTCCATAATGTCTCAGCATAATTATGCGTCCTTCACTTTTTCCTCATAACTGCCGCTGCCCTTGTAGGCCCCCACGTAGCCACTGTCGTCTGGGACGTCCGCACGCCCGACCTTTCCTTTTCCTTTGCCTGACTCGTCAAACCGCTCCTTGTGAGCTCCAGTGTACTTTGTGGTGTCGGTCAGTCTGTCCACTGCTGCTGCCTTTGCCACTTTCTAAAAACAATAGAAGAGTTAACAAAGTGGTAATTTCAATCAAACACAATACATGCACTTTTCTATTCATTTATTTTATTTATTCATTTATTTAACAGGGACAGTGCACATTAATCAACATTTCTGTAAATCTGCCAGAGTTAGCCAAGAGGCTATCTTTCATCTGTAGTCCCTGCACAGATTTTGTAAGTCACCCTAAAGACACATTTCAATATTTATAAAGTGTCAAAATAACCAAATTATATTGTTATGTAGCTTTGGCACCATCCAGTGGTTTAACCAATAATGACTCCAGCAGAAAACAATGCACATTACTGTTTTTGCCATGGCACAGATCTGGTAAGATATGCAAACTTCATAAATCTCACTCAAACAAAGATTGAAGTCCTTCTAGTTTATTGCCTTAAACTTACTTAATTTGTTGGTTGTTTATTTTAGTGGGGGTTGTGTCGAGAAAGAAACATAGGCAGTTGCATTGTTGAATGTGGAAAGGTGAGGTGTGTGGAGGTTAGATCTGATTAAATACTCACAGTGACTCCGATGTTCGCAGGCTCCTTGCCAACAATGAGACTATAGAGCTGCTGAAGAGACTCCTCTTTGCTCTTCCCTTTAAAACGTTTGGGAGCCAACTCTGTCAGGGCCTGGTTGAACTGCTCAAATGTGATTACCCGAGCTGACTTGGCCCTGAGGAAACAAAAAACAGGTTTCCAAATGTTTTCTAAATAAAAGTAACAAAATTATATAAATCATGTGTTGTGCCTATTATTAAAACGCCATGAGGCTAGCAAAGGAAGGGGGCTTCAGTAGCTATAGATGCTCATATTGCCAAGAGGATCAATCGGTGACCCCCTGACTGTTTCCTCTGTGCCACCAATGAGGTTAACATTCCGGGGTTTTAGTGAAATGTTTTTATTTAACATTGAATGGATTTCCATGAAATGTAGTATAAACATGGTGTCGAGAGGATGAATTGACTTTGATGATATCCCACCTCCCATCCAGCATCCTGGGGTCATCAGGTACATATTTGTATTTGCTCCATAGTTTGGTTTACGACCAAAACCATCACATGCTAAGATTAGTATAGATGCATTTGTTTTAATAACAAAACAAATTAGTGACTGCATATTTTGTTGCAGTTCATGTTGGCATATGCACATCTTGGCTGTTTTAGCTGTGCATAGTTGGGCTTGACTGAAATCGTACTTGTTTTTGCTGAAAACGATGTCAACATCTGTAGTGGTGACGTTCTTGCCATCGATGATTTTGCAGTCCTTGGAGAGCTTAACAAAGTTTTTGCCGTTCATCTCCTTCCCTGTGGCCTTACTGTCTCCATGGACCGCAAACTTCTGGAAGGCGGTCTCCACCTCTGCTACTGACACTGTGCCCTCAGCCATACTGACAAATACACATACAAAATACATAATCAAAGTGATAATGTTCACATATCAGTATAAAAAGATGAGAAAAAACGCCCTAACATAGCTGATGTTCACTTCCTATCCTTGTGAGGACATTTAGTAAAATGAAAGAACATAAATTCATGATGACTGAATTAGCTGATTGGTAGTCAGCTTGCCAAGAAATGGCTTCCATTAAGGTCAGTCTCAAGTGAACGTTTCTCTCACTCTCTCTCTCTCACACACACACACACACACACACACACACACACACACACACACACATACACAATAAACGCAGACACACTTTCACATCCATCATTCATGTTCGTGTTACTCAAGCTGCTCTCAGGCCAATTTAATTAAATCAACTCAATTTCCAAATGGCTCCTCTGCTGTTCATTCTTAACATGTTCCTTCTCTTTCTGTTCTCCATTTCTCTCACATACACACAAATGCACACCGACACACACTTGTCCATAACTTGTGTCTGCTTTTTGCTAATATTTACGATTTACATTTGGTTAGGTTGGCCAATAAACAGAGACATAAAAAACAGATTTGTATGCAGAAATAAAAAAAACATTTCACCTTTAGTTCAATAAATATAAAACATGTTTCGTAAATGTCACTGGGGTTCAGTTCGGCATTTTGGCATCGTTTTATGTAGCCTACTTTTGTAAATTACATTGACTCTTTTTGAAAATCTAATATTATGTTATTATTAGATTTACTGTAGTTAAAAAAATCTCCTCATAAATATAACAAATTGTTTGTCATTCCTGAGGCATGAAATAAGACATCTAATGCATCTGTTAAATATTTAGTCATGCTCATTTGTTTTTGTTGCCGTTAAAATTGCCCTGTTGTTGTATTAGCTGCTCTGAACGGTGATGCTGAAAAGAGAGAGTAAAGCGTACCTGCTGCCGTGAATGGACGGATGCTCTCAAAATATTCAGGGAAATCCTGATACACGTACAGCTGCTCGACCTCTTCGTCTTCCTCCTCCTTCTTCTTCTTCTTTCTTCTCTTCCGCTACTTCCTCCTGCCACTCCCAGGCTTTCTCACAATGACGACACAGATGGAGAGATACAGAGAGGGAATAGGAGAGAGGGAAGGGGGAGGGGGAGGGAGAGAGTACCGACCAGCACAATGACATCATGGGCACTCAGCTCTCATTAGCTCCTCTCACTGAGCACAGACTCTGCCTCTGTGGATAGATTTATCATCTTCCTTTCAATTAACTCGTTTATTCATTTTGTCTCATATATTTCAAATGTCCTCTTGTAAAGTTCTGGGGCAGGTGCTTCATCATTTAAGATTAGTACACTATCCATTCATCCCTCTATGCACAACTCATCACTATCTGTCATGCCCGCTCTCCATTGTTCTCCCACCCTCTTTCTTTCTCTCGTTTTTTCTCTCTTACTGTCATTGCCACAAGAGCACTCTTGTCTGGATAAAGATGAGAGCGGCCTTTCAAAGGACAAAGAGTAGGCTACTGACAGCATGAAGCTGAAGGAAAGATTATCCATTCTCTTTGCTTGTTACCAATCAAACTGAATACAAATACAAATGTTCCACACTGATGACATACTGTAGTGTTATCTAGATCTTGATCCTATTCCTGCATAATCATGTATATGCCACAACTGTAAAACACTTCAACAATACTCTTCCTTTAATAGCCTACTTACTAACTATCGACAACTATTTTACTAAACATCATCCTGGCATTATTTCCATGTACAGTAATTTATACAGCATACTATTCTTACTAAGTAAATATGGCAGTCATTGAAGGTGACTGACATTTGGAAACATCAATCACTCCACAAGTAGTAGCCTACTCATGTGCATTTATTCATTAAATCATCATTGCTTTAAATAAAAACATATATATATATATATATATATATATATTAATGCTGTCAAAATTATCGCGTTAACGGCGGTAATGAATATTTTGAATTAATTGCGTTAAAATATTTAACGCATGTGCAGAATGGCCCGCCCCATACATCCCACCAGTGGCAGCGCCAGAGTATGGCTGGGGTAGGCTACACCCATACCAAGAAATGGCTTAGCCCCACCATGAAAAATGATGTTAAAGTAAGCAAAATAAAGTCTGACAACTCGCGCGGAGTAAATTGCACAGACAGCAGTTGGTAAGATTGATTTCAGTAGCCACTTGTCTGGAAATACCGAAGACCAGAAACGGTTTTGAAAACTTTTGTCACGTAGTGATCGTCTTCTCAATAGAAGATCTTTGATAATGTCTTCTGGCCAATCAGAATCAAGATAACGGTGTGGTGTTGTTACAGGAAGTCCCGACGGAGAATACTTTTGCTGTAGTACAGGCAGGGCTGGACCATGGATGTATAATAAGAACTATAGGTTACTTACGTAACCCCAGTTCTCAGAGTAACATGAAGTGAGATGTCTCACTATGGGATGCGCCTCATCGCGGAGCAAACAGAAGCATCAATCTCATTACGCCAATCCTGATTGGCTGGAGATCTTGACGTCAGCGTCAGGGAAATCACCCCCTATAAGTAGCTTGCGCCACAACGCATGCACCATTCAAAATAAGCACATCTTCTCGCTTCACCATAGCAAGGAGGGCCGTCTGGTGAGACATCTCACTTCATGTTACTCTGAGAACTGGGGTTACGTAAGTAACCTATAGTTCTCATTCATAACACTCCGTTCGATGTCTCACTATGGGAAATTGTAGCTCCCGTATTGCCAGACGAGCTTATCTCGAAAATCACCAAACCAACCAGAACTTAACAGGTAGAGCTCTGACTCAACCAGGTGCCCAGCACTGCTTGAGTCACACTGGGAGCAGAACGTCCAACCTGTTAGGAGGCAGACAAAAGTGAGCGGCGAGGACCAGCTCGCCGCTGCACCAATGTCTTTGATGGGAGACATCCTGGACAGAGTCCAGAATGCAGCCAGACTCTGAGTCGAAAGAGCTCGCGGACCCGAGGGTGCCTGCGAACTCTGACTCGTATGAGCCCCAAAGCAATTGCTTCCACAGACCAGTGGGAGAGCCGTTGCTTAGTAACAGGCTTGCCCTTATAAGGGTTAGCCCAGGACACAAGGGGTTGGTCATTATGACAAAGCACCCTTGATCTGTCCCTGTACGTGCGTGAAGCACGGGCTGGACACGGCAAATCCGGCCGCTGTTCCCCGGAGGAATACAGTGGCGGGGAGGATGCCTTAATGTCAAATGTGGTACCCGAACCGACCGCCTTAAGATAAAGGCAGGTTCAGGCTTCAACCACACTCTGTTTACCCTGGGGCAAACTGAGTGGATGAAAACTGTACAGATAGTGCATGAGTGCCACTGGCTCGCTTGGCAGCTGCCAGGATCAGCGTCATGTCACACTGTATTTAGATTGTACCACTCACGGGCCAGGCCCATAGAGCCAAACGCTCTGGGTGTGGGTGAAAGATCGCCCCCCCCGCTTGGGACAGTATGTCCCTGCGTAGTGGGAGCTGCCATGGCTGCCCGCAAAGCAGCTGATATATCTCCGCTAGCCAGTACATAGCTGGCCAGTGCGGAGCTATCAGGATAAGTATGTGGCGTTGCTCTCTCACTCTGGCCAGAGTTGGGGGTATCAGAGCCAGGGGTGGGAACGCGTACAGAAGGCCCGGGGGGCAATTGTGCGCGAGTGCATCCACGCCTAACGGTGCATTTAGATCGCGCATCGAAAAGAACAGCTGACATTGAGCGTTGTCTTTCGATGCGAACAGATCCACCGCGGCTCTGCCGTAACGCACCCACAGCTGGCTCACAATCCTTGGATGTAGAGTCCAGTCTGCATAAAGTGGTATACCTCTGGACAGTAGATCTGCCCCGAGGTTCATCACTCCCGGTACGTGCGTCGCTCTCAGAGAGAGGAGACGCCTACCGCTCCATAGGATAAGTTTGCGCGCCAGTGTGTGTAACTGGAGAGAACGCAAACCCCCTTGGCGGTTAATATACGATATTGTGGTCGTATTGTCTGTCCTCACGAGGACGTGATGTCCCCTGAGGAAAGGCAGAAAGCATTTTAGGGTGAGAAACACCGCTAAAAGATCCAGGTAATTTATGTGCGCCCGCTGGAGGTCTCTGCTCCAGAGACCCCTCACCGGGCGACCTTCATAAATACCTCCCCAACCTGTCAGACATGCGTCCGTGGTGACCACTTTCCGTGAAAGGACAGCCCCCATAGGCACACCTCGTACTAGAAAAGTCGGATGCAGCCAGTGGCGCAGTGCCATTACGCATTTGACGCCATGAGCCCCAGCAATCGCAGGCATGATCTGAAGAGAACATGTTTGCGCAGCCGGAAAAGAGCGAGACAAGCTCTGAAAGCTTTCACTCTATCCGCTGACAAGCGAGCTGAAAAGGGCACCGAGTTCAGGTGTAAACCCAGGAAGAGTATAGTCTGCGCGGGGCACAACATGCTCTTCTCTGTGTTTATTATGAAACCCAGTTGAGCAGGTGCTTTACGAGGACATTTGTCTGCGTAACAGCCTCCTGCTCCAACTGTGCGAGAAGCAGCCAGTCGTCCAGGTAGGTCGCCAGGCAAATACCCTGTTGTCTTAACGGGGCTATCGCGGCTTCCGTACATCGTACAAACACCCTTGGACTGACAGACAGACCGAAGGGGAGTACTCTGTATTCATAACAGATCCCCTGAAATGCGAATCTCAGATATTTCCTGTGTGGGTAATATACTGGGATGTGAAAATACGCATATTTCAGGTCGACTGATGTGAACCAGTTGTCTTGTCGCACGAGCCGCAGCAGAGATGTGTGAGTGAGCATTCTGAACTTATATCTTCTTAGATATTTGTTCAGAGCCCTCAAATCAAGTATTGGCCGAATTCCGTTCCCTCCCCGTTTGGGAACGAGGAAGTACTTGGAATAGAAGCCGCCCTTACTCTGCTCGGCGGGTACAATAGATATAGCCCTCTTTTCTAGGAGAGAGAGAATCTCTTTCTCCAGAATATGGGCTGACTCTCCTCGGGCCTGCGAATGCAGAATGCCCGAGAAGCGAGGGGGGGTGACAGCGAATTGGAGTCTGTAGCCCCGTGTTACTGTCTTGAAAACCCAAGCAGATGATGTGAGCATCTTCCACTGCATGCTCCTTAGAGCCAGTGGAGATGTCACGTCTCTTCCCCTCTGAGTCTCTATTTGTTGTGTTATGGGGCCCTCTAGTGTCTGAACACAGTGGTGCCCCCTTTCGACAATCCCCACCGACACTGCGCATGCGCATGACGGTGGTGCCTTCACAACCCCAGCCGGCACTGCGCATGCGCGTGGCGGTGGTGCTTTTAAAACCCCAGCCGGCACTGCGCATGCGCGTGACGGCTAACACAGACCCGCCTGTAATCCGCCTTTTGAGAGATGCCGAAGCTGCTCTCAGAAGGGGAACAGTTGACGGGCTGTTTATTGGTTTTATTGTTTTTCTTATCATTTTTTTGAACTGCGCCCTCGGCCTGAAGCCTGGATGCGTCAACGGCAAATGTTTAATGACAGAGGAACAAACAGATTTGTGACATGTGTTTTTGCGGACTTGAGGATGGTGTTGAGGCATCTCTCGAGGCGGCGGGAACACATTTAGAGCTGGGGAACCGTGGACATCCAGCTCTGTCACGGAGGGGAGAAGGAGGGGCTGTCACGCCGCTCGCTTCTTCTTCCTCGCCTGCTGGCCGAAATTCTGGGTTGGCTGCGCCTGAGCTGCAGCCGGAACCGGAGATTTTCTGGGCCAGCTCGCCCTCGTCTCCAGCCTGGGCTGGGGACTCGGGGCGGGCTGCGACCTCTGCGTTTTCGGTGTTTTAAACCGAGCAGGGTTCAAGGCAGCTTGGGCGAAGGACTGCTGCTGCGAAGGCAGCGGCCGGACCCTTCGAGGGAGGCAGAGGTGGAGTGCCTCGTCCTCCCTCTTTTTCGACTCACACCTCTTTTGCATGGAAGCAAGAGCGGAGCCGAAAATTCCCTCGGGAACGATGGGCATATCCAGCACATCCTCCTTTTCCCGGTCTGGGAGGTTGGTGAGGTTGAGCCATCTCGCTCTTTCCTGCACCACCATGATCCCCATTGCCTTACCTGTGGCCTGGACGGCGCAGCGTTGGACACGGAGACAGATGTCTGTGACCGCTGCCATCTCGTCCAGAGTGGCTGCCCCCGGGTTACCCGACAGGTCCTCGCAGAGCTCCGCTTGGTAAGTGGTTAGCAGCAAGGCCACATTCAGGGCCCTGGCGGACAACGCTGCGGCTTTGTAGGACCGTTCAGTCATTGTCGACTGAAATCGGTCCGACTTTGCCGGCAGCGTGGGGTTCCTGCTTGGTGACGGGCCCATCCTCGGTAGGAGGTGGGCTGCTACCAGCGGTTCCATGGGCGGTATGCGGAGCAGGCCGAGCTTCTCCATTCCGTCACAGTCTAGGGAGGAGGCACCCTGGATTGGGACTTTCTGGCTGAAGGGCCGGTCTCTCCACGAGACCGACACCTCATCCAACATCTCCGGGAAGACCGGAAGGAGTTGCCTCTTTGTCCGCGCTGCTTGGGGAAAATGTTTCCCTTCGTAGCGGGACCTGGAGGTCTCCTTGGCCATTTCAGGCCACGGGATGTTGAGTCTGGCCGCAGCGCGTTTGCACACGGCCTGCAGGTCCATACTCAGACAGGGCGAAGCTGGTGTGCTATCGTCTGGGAGAGCAGCCCTCGCTCCAGGCTTTGCAGCCTGAGCCGATGACATGAAGATGTCCTCTTCATGTTCATCCGACTCGGACAGGAGGAACACCGAGGCGTCCTCTTCGTCCTCGTCGTAGTGAAGCTCGAGGACATCCTCCGCGGGTGAGACCATGGTGAGGTCTAACCGGGAGCCCCAGCTCGGTAAAGCGTGGGGTCCCGTTCCCGCGTGTCTTGCCGCCACCGGGTCCCGGCCTGCCAGGGCGCGGGAATCCGGTTCTGCGGCCATCTCAGATAATGAGCCCCAGACCGACATGGAGAGGGGTTCACTCTCTGTGGCAGATGTCCCCGCGTCTTGACTGCCGGCCGGCAGGTCAGAGGACATGGGGGGTTCCTGCTCCGACAGAATAGCTTGGCGTGCTAGCCGTCGGCGGAGGCTCTTTACGGTGAAGCGGACACAATGTCCGCACGAGCCGGGGTTGTCGATAGCGCCTCGGGTGTGTTCCAGCCCGAGGCAGGACGAGCAGACCTGGTGTGTGTCTGTGCCCGAGATCTTCAACCCGCAGCCGCAGAGTCGAGCCACCGAGTCCCTGACTCCTCTGGTGTGAGGGAGAGGGGCGTCCATCTTGTTCGCCTCGTGACGTGGAGAGGACCCGCTCTCAACAGGTAGGTTGGGAGAAAAAGAGGTAACCACCCTGTCCTAAATCCGGAGAAAAGGACGGTGTGGGTCTTTTATTCCCGGAGAATACTGACTGGTGTGACAGTATGCTCCTTTAATCCTTTCCTCCTCCGTGGGGAAGAGAAAATAAAAAACGTCCTCGCTACCGTGGTGTCGATAGTGAGGGAGCGAGCTAACGCTAGCTTGAAAAAAAATCAGACCTACCTTACTTTCCGGGGGAAAGAGAACGGCGAGGTCAATTTCAATACTAACTGGCGTTAGTATTACCGTCTTCCTGCGAAGCAGAAGGAGTAGCCGGCGAGCGCCCGTCGACCGAAATGGTTATTTGGGTTTAGTCTGTGGACCGTTAAGCTTGTCCGGCTACTATAGAGATGTGCTCTGAAGCGAGAAGAGGTGTTTGAATGACGCATGCGTCGTGGCACAAGCTACTTATAGGGGGTGAATTCCCTGACGCTGACGTCAAGATCACCAGCCAATCAGGATTGGCGTAATGAGATTGATGCTTCTGTTTGCTCCGCGATGAGGCGCATCCCATAGTGAGACATCGAACGGAGTGTTATGAATGAGAACCAGGGTTGCCAACTCTCACGCATCTAGCGTGTGACACACGCTTTCACTCTCAATCTCACGCTCTCACGCTGCCCAAACTATTCTCACGCCAAAAACAAGATGAACCGGTGATCGTTTTTGGTTGGTTATTTACAATGTTGAGTTGACAGCTGCTCAAGCTGTTGATACGCTCCCTCCCCGCCTCCACCACCATCAGACCCCCCTGCTCGGTCACTGTTCGCTTTGTGAGAGGGTTTGAAGGTCTAATTTATAATGATTGATAGTTACACATACTTGTTGTATGTATTAGTTTAGTTTGCCCCTGGTACGTAAAAAGGATAATAATAATAATAGCGTTTTTTTAAATGATAGGCTACTGAGTTATTCTTCTTGTCAGGAACCGCTACTATTTGTTTGTTTTATGGATTTGGGCCGGTCTGGGTCTAAATGCCAGGGCCGATTTGCTGTCCCAGTCCAGCCCTGAGTACAGGGGTGCACATAACTGGTACGCAGGTTATGTGCGTAATCTGAAATGCGTACCGTCACTTGTGTCACAAAGCGCATTTGCGTACCGACGTACTTGTGAAGCTTTTCCAGAAGGCGGTTAGATCACCGGACGACAGAGTCGGTCTCCGTGTGCACAGACAGGGCTGCTGTTAACGTCGGTATGTACAACGGAATTGTGCCAAAACTACGCCAACCGGCTGCGGAGGGAGACTCCTCCCCTTCACCGGAGAACTGCGCTAAAACAGCTGATCACAACGTTCACACTCTGTGGTCACGAAGTACTCCACTAGCCGCCATGTATAATATTGTTTCAGTAATGTCAGTATGGCACTGCCTTGTTTTGCATTGTTTTTCAGGTTTCCAATGTGCCCCTGTGGTTACCCACATGGGATGTTCAGATGCACGGATGTTCGGATATTTGTTTACAGGATAAACAACACATGTTTTGACATCATGCACCACCATGAAACTCCCTGTGCAGTCAAATGGAAAACACAAATCACTTACTGGTCTCTGTGCTGTGTTTTTATGCAATTGGCAAGCACCTTGTGCTGACATTAGATGGTATGATGAACCTTGTTTTGTAAATGTATAAAATGTTGATGCTAAAACAGGATAAAGTGCTAAGGGTCATTCACATTTAAGTACAACATAAATATAAATGGTGGAACATGTTGACACCTCTTAAATAGGATTTCTCCACCAAGGAAGTTAGGTTTTTGGTTCAGTTTGGTTTTGGTTGTTGGTTTCTCAGCAGGATCACGGATAAAAGCCACTGGCATGATACGTCATAATTCAATTGGTGGATAAGTCTAAACGGGCAAAGGGAGAAACCATTCAATGTTGGAGTTGATCATAATTCTTTAGTTATGGAAAGCTCCTTAGCACCGGTCTGCACTTTAGGGTTGTCTAGGTTTTAGTTTTTCTTCGCTGACAACTTGACCTTACTTTGTGAGTCAACCTGACATTCTTGTTTGTTTAGCAGATTCCATCATGGTAGCAGACCTCGGTACTTTCACTGAGATACTTGGAAAAGTGTTCTGTGGGAAGACATCACCTTGTGTTTACACTATAAACAAAGCCTTCCCTTAAATAAATATCACCAGAGAACAGCATTGTCTCTGGTTTGCAATGAAATTGTCGGATCACAGTAACCTGTACTTGGACTCTCTCTGGACCTAAGACACAACTTTACTTACCATCGCTTTGCACACTAAGTGATATTATTTTTGGGGGTTTGACCTCGGACACAAATCAAGTTCATCTAATAGTTGTCTGAATTAACATCATCATGGCTGAGTCTGGTTTCCCTTTACCACCAGAGGATTTCTGTGCGCTGTGTGCGGACACACTAAGAGACCCGGTCACCATCCCCTGTGGAGACACCTACTGCCTGGAGTGCATCACGGTCTACTGGGACCAGTTTGACCACATGGGTGTGTACAGGTGCCCACAGTGTCGCGCCACCTATACACCACGGCCTGCGCTTAAACAAAATCTTCCAGACGTGAACCAAGAGACACAACGCCAGCTCCCGGAGCTCACTCCTTTCCCCTACATGCAACAAGAATCTTTCTGCGATTTCTGTGTCGGCCATCGCAAAAAGGCTGTTAAGTCTTGCCTCATGTGCTTGGCCTATTATTGTGAAACTCATGTCAAGCCACATTACGAGTCATCCACCTTCAAGAGACACAAGCTGGTCGATGAGATGGGCCACCTGGACAGGAAAATATGCCCCCAGCATGAGAAAGGCCTCGAGCTGTTCTGTCGCACGGACCAAATGTGTATCTGTGTGCTGTGTACGGTCAGAGAGCACCGGAGCCACAACATTACCTCAGCAGAAGAAGAGCGCAACGAAAAACAAGTGAGTCTTAATTGTAAGTTAGTCAACCTTTGTGACTCTGCCTTTTATGCACTGAACAAGATGGATGACATACTATGGTTGAGAGAAGCCATCTAATTGCTGTTCTTCCAACAGAAAGTCCTGGTGGTCACCCAGTCTGAGGTCCAGTACATCATTCAGGAGAGGATGAAGGAGTTGCAGGAGCTCAGACATAATGTGGAAGTTCTCAAAGTAAGATTAGACATTTCCTGATTAAACATTACTGTTTTTGTACATTTAAAGATAGAGATGTGATTTTAGATGATATACAATATACACATATGAGATATTTTACAATATTGTCCATGATAAGAGCATTTTGTATATAATTGTCATTATCACGTGGTCTTACATTTGAAAAATATGTTTTTCCCTTTCAGAGTGGTGCCCAGCGAGCACAGGTAGAAAGTGATAAGACCTTTCATGAAATGCTGCAAGCGGTGGAGCGCTGGAAGGCTGAAATCCACCAGATGATAACAGCCAACATGCAGTCTGCGATGTCGCAGGCTGAGGGCTACGTGGACCGTCTGGAGCAGGAGATACAAGAGCTACAGCGCAGAGGCGCAGAGCTTCGGCAGATCCTCGAAACAGAGGACAACATTCACTTTCTGCAGGTGCCAAAAGTATTCTTGTCTTCGCACTTCTGGCCTGTTTGCACATCATTCAATCAAATCTACACTTAATCTTGATGCTTTCTTTCCTAATAATGCTAACGGGACAAATATATTACAATGTATTTTACTTATATTGCTCAGGTTACGGTTCCTCAAGCAAAAGTGTAATGCATTTGACTTATTATATCTATTAAAAAGTCACTTTTTAGTCTGTCTTTTGGACTGTTTACTGGAGCCCCTATCTCCCGTTCAATAGAATTTTCCAACTCTGTGCATTCCTCCTGAAGCCATGGTGCCCAAAGTGCTCATCAACCCTCAGTTCTCCTTTGGAGAGATGAGTAAGACGGCCACGGAGATGAAGGAACATCTGGACAACATCTGTAAGAAGGAATTGAGCAAAATCTCCAAAACAGGTTTGTTTTTATTAGATCATTTTCACAAATATCTTTAGGCTATGTCAACTTTAAAGCAGACCATTAACAGGCTAACATAATGCTGTATTTTCTTCACAGTTAGTGAAACCCCAGTGTACATACTTTTGCCAAGAAATGGAGACAAACGACTCAAAGGTACACATCTGTTTATTGAAAGATGCACAACTTTACCTATAAATACAGTTTTCAAACTTATATGATAATGTTATTCCCCCTTAGATTTATTTTACAAATAAACAATAAGACAAAATGTATCTCAAAATAATGTGGGTGTCCATGTTTTCATATCCATAGTTCCTTCCAGAGTTGATTTTCAGGAGCCAAAAACCAGGATGGACTTCTTAAGATGTGAGTAGTGTTAATTCATTCCTTGAAAACAACAATATGCTTTTATGTTTAGTTTTATCAGGATGTGACTTGTAATTGTAAACTAATTCTAAAGTTAGTCTTTAACTTGATATGGTCTTGGTCAATACAAATAATAAATGTGCATTGTGTATGTATGTCTTTGCTCAGACACCTGCAAGATGTCCTTTGATCCAAACACGGTCTATAAAGAGCTGGTCCTGTCCGAGGGCAACCAGAAGGTCATGCGGAAGAAAGCAGTCCAGTTTCACCCAGATCATCCAGAACGCTTTGATGGTTACTCGCAGGTGTTGTGCAAGGAGCCTTTTACTGGTTTCAGGTTTTACTGGGAGGCAGAGTGGAGTGGCGAGTTTTCCATCGGGGTGGCCTACAAGAGCATCAGTCGCAAAGGGAAGAACTCGCACAGCCTGCTGGGCTACAACGACAAGTCCTGGAGTCTCCTCTGCTCCGATTCAGGCTACTCTGCCTGGCACAACAAAGTAGACAGAGACCTTCCTGAAGCTCCCAGAGCCACACGGATTGGTGTGTACCTGGATTATGCCGGAAACACTGTGGCCTTTTACTCGGTATCAGAGACCATGGCACTGATCCACAGATTCAAAGCTCAGTTCAGTGAGCCTTTGTATGCTGGTTTTGGTGTGGGCTCGTCTGTAACCCTCTGCCAGCAAAAGAAAAATGCAAAGCCTTACTAAAGTAAAGAAATAAATGAGGGAAGTTAAATTCAATCGTGAAGGGTATTAACTCTGCAGCACTATCACATATTGACTGAACTTTACAATGCAAAGACATGGTTGTTGTTTTTAACCCCTCTCTTAAACAAATGTAATGTTGTTTTGACCACACTCAGCATGTTCCTGTAACATTTGATAATAATGTTTCAACTTAATTCAACTTCCTGTTTTATATTTTATATATCGGTGTAATGCAGTGACCAAGTGTATTAAAGGCCTATCTTAAGCTTTAATCATTATGCATTGGCTAAAATAATCTTCGGATACATGAGTTGTGTTTATATTTGTGATTGTATGAACAGTAAAAAAAATAATCTCCATGCTTTTGTTTTAAGTTTTAGTGTCTTGATCTACATTCATAATAAAGGTGGGAAGCGATAACATCAAACTTAAAAAACACATTGCAAGACAACATGAGGAGACAGCATTATTTTTTTATCATTTTCAAATACCATCAATTGATTCATATTTTACAAAAAATGTAAACAAAGTTATAGTATATGATTGTTTTAACTTTAGCACTGCTTTTAGCCACTCATTGTTTATATTTAAATTGGATATGTTTCTGGTCATGCTCTCTTTGGAGCCAAGACATCTTGTGACATTAACAAACAGTGAAATACCTTAAGTTTCCCTGCCCTATAAAGATACAAGATTGGTTGGACAAAAGCTGTTAAGAAAGGTATTATATTGACAGTAGTTTAGGAAAACTGTGTGGTTCCCTCTGCCCCTCCCCTGGTTCAGGGCGTATCAACACTGAGAACTGAGAAGCAGCAGAAAGTCATCAACAGCAAGACAAACAGATACAAAGCTGCTATCATCAAGAAAACCCTTTTTTGTGAATTGGTATCCATACACTGGACAACGTAATCACGAGAAACACAGCAACATGCCAGCTTGTACCTCAGAGCTTTACACCTGAGAAATATCAGAGTGGACGGGTGCAAGGTATTATTTCAGACAGATGGAGCTCTGCACAAGAGGACGTGTATTCAGGAATATTACATTCAAGAACGTAAATAGGTCTGAAATGAGACTGAGTGGTAGTTGGTGGATGAGAACATTACATCACATGTTGCTTTTATCCAAAGCGCCTTACATACTCAATACTGTGGGCAATCCCCACAGGAGCAATTTGGGGTGAAGTGTCTTGCCCAGGGACACAACGACATGCTGACTGTAGTGGGGTTTGAACCAGTGCTCCCCTGATCCCAACACCAACGCACTAGACCACTGCGCCACACGCCTCCCCGAGAAAATGCAATAATCCCGAGACACTAAAAAAAATCTCAACCAAAATCTAATTTAAACTTAATCTTTCACAGTGTTTAAAAGCTGAAAATAAGTCCATATTCTCTAAGCTAACATGATTTGCAAGAGAAATTATCTGAAGAAACAACGCTGCTTTACATGTTCATAACAGACATGAAAGCACGTCCATGGCCCTATTATGCAAACTTGCAGGTGTTGGAGGCAGTCAATAGTAAAACTACTAAATAAATATTGGTGACCGCTATAATAAACACATTAAGTGCAATAATAACAGTGTATATCATGACAGTTGATCTAAAACTTTAGTTTACATTTATTTCTATGGCAGCAATGGAAATTAAATACAAATATATAATAATAATAATAATTAAAACTGCGGTCGCACTTGTGCGCGCAGTGATGAGCGGGCCCTCGCGTCCGTGCGCCTGTCGGGGAGGGCGGCAGGTCGTCCCGGCGTCAAGCAGACGTGCGCGAGTCCTGGGAAATGAGCCGTTTGTCATTTCTCTAATTTTCGCGTCCCAGACTCCCAGGTGCTCCGGCAGCGACCCGGAAACGGATGTCGAAGGAAAACAAATGTCTCTAAAGGGTCGTCGAGGATCGATTATCGAGTCAGGCTGTCTGGAGGAGCCGTAACCGAGGATGCACTGATTTAGAGGAGAGAGGAGTGTCTCTGGAGGAGCTATAACCGAGGGTACACTGAAGTATTCTCCTGAGACGATTTCAGCCAACAGTGATGTTTAAAAGAGGCGTGACGCATGGCTGGACTTCTGTCAAATGAAGCACAGCTCTGCAAACTGTTCCCGTTGTGATTATAAGTTATTTGAGATGATCAAATGTGCATCAGACTTTCTGCCCTTTACCGTTTGTTTACTCACTAATCACATGTCCCCTGGATGTTAGGTGATGTTACAGTGAGAACAGCTGCTGAGGTCAGTGCAGAAAGCAGAACAGTGTGTATAATATATATCGCTCAATAACAAATGTAACAGGCCTACATGTCACACTTTATTTGTAGGCTTTAGGAGATATCTACAAATAAACATTAGGGTTAGGGTTAGCGAGTGTATAGGTGTCAGTTGTAATGAATATGCCGCCAGCAAAGGGTGTTGTTGGACTAACAGTAGGTGTGTGTGTGTGTGTGTGTGTGTGTGTGTGTGTGTGTGTGTGTGTGTGTGTGTGTGTGTGTGTGTGTGTGTGTGTGTGTGTGAGAGTTGATGTGCCAGGCAAACAGGCAGGCCTCAGTAGCTTATCTGACATATAATTGGTGAAAAATGGTACATTCTCCGTTAGCCTACGAGCTCCCCGTTTGAGCGAAGGACTATTCCTTCTCAATGTAGCATGACATTGGATATGCGCTGAAGTTGTCCTGGATTGGAATTGTTCCGATCATTCCCCTATGAGGAGTTTACAGAAATGTCCTTAAAATGCATGAAAAACGGCCAATTTTCAAAATGGCCGACTTTCTGGTGGGCGGGGCTAATGGAAGGCAATTTGAAATATGTGTGCAATCATAATAGCAATATGTATACAGCGTTTCGTGAATATCGGAAAAACTATATGCGACCAGTTTGGAGCAATTTGCGCCATGTGAATAGTCAAAAATGGTGTATTCGCTGTTAGCCTACGACCTCCACGAGTAATTTTTCAAAAATGTGCTCCTGAATTAAGTATTCTATTGGATAGGGGCTAAACCTGTCCTGCATTGGAATTTTTCTGATCATTCCCCTAGGAGGAGTTTGCAAGAACGTGCGTAAAATGGCTGAAAAAACGCACATTTTTCAAAATGGCCGACTTTCTGGGGGGCGGGGCTAATGGAAGGCAATTTGAAATATGTGTGCAATCATAATAGTAATATGTATACAGCGTTTCCTGAATATTGGAAAAAGTATACGCGAGTATTTGGAGTAATTTGGGACATGTAAATCGTCAAAAATGGAAAGTTCTCCGTTCGCTTACGAAGTCGTCGTTTGAACGATCAACTATTCCTTCGCAATTTAGCATCACATTGGAAATGGGCTGAACTTGTCCTGGATTGGATTTTTTCCGATCATTCCCCTAGGAGGAGTTCGCAAGAACGTGCGTAAAATGGCTGAAAACCGCACATTTTAAAAGATGGCCGACTTTCTGGGGGGCGGGGCTAATGGAAGGCAATTTGAAATATGTGTGCAATCATAATAGCAATATGTATACAGCGTTTCGTGAATATCGGATTAACTATATCCGAGTAATTTGGAGTAATTTGCGACATGTAAATCGTCAACAATGGTGTATTCGCTGTTAGCTTACGACCTCCACGATTGAGCTATCAAAAATGTTCTTCTCCATTAAGTATCATATTGGATAGGGGCTGAACGTGTCCTGGATTGGAATTTTTCCGATCATTCCCCTAGGAGGAATCCGCACGAATGTGCTTAAAATGCATAAAAAACGCACATATTTCAAAATGGCCGACTTTTTGGGGGGCGGGGCTAATGGAATGTATGTACAAATATGTCCGCAATTCCATGAGGAATATCTGTGCCAACATTCGTGAAGTTCTGAGAAACTATATGCGACTACCACACAATAGGGGGCGCTAGTGAGCAGTTTTTTTGAAAATGTAAGTTTTTTTTTTACATGATGGAAAAAGTCGTGGGCTGTGACTCGTGTACCAATTTTTGCGTAACGAAAACCATTTTAGCTCATCGTCATAAAAAAAAAAGTACAGGCCACGCCCACATTTGTCATTCGTTGTGACACTTTAAATATAAGTCCATACTCATCCCCAGAGTATGTCTACAAAAAAAGAAAAATATTTCGTCCATCAGTTCATGAGTTAGACATTTGTCATGTTTTTGGCGCCCCCTATAGTCCAAAATGGAAATTACTTTTTGTGCTTCTTCCCCAATACAGACTGAACCTTACCACCAAAATGTGTGTTTTTTTGGTACATTGTTGATGAGTTATGAGCATTTCTATCTAAGCCCCGCCTTTTTGCGAAGACATTTAGAGTAATGACGACCACATTTATCAACTGAACATGCTCATTTCCTACGATAATGTGTCTGACCCTCCGGCGATACTGTATACTGAGTTTGGTGTTGAAAAACCAAAATTTGAAATTTAAGTGAATATTTAACTGTTTTTCAAATTATGCTAATTTAAAAAAAAATAAAGTAGGCGGAGCTTACGGGTACTTGGACCTTATATGTAGAGCAGGTCCACCCGAGTAAGTGTGAAAAATTTCAGGTCATTTGGAGTTACGGTGCAACTTTGTACATCTTTCCAAAAACGGAAATGGCCATAGGTGGCGCTAGAGAGCATGTTGGACAATTTGAACACATTGACTCCAGAATATCAAATTTTTCACCGATTCTGGAATCTGTGCAAAATTATACAACTTTCTCAGCATCCTAAAGGCCTGAAAATAAGCATTGAAATATGGAATAATAATAATAATACCACGAATAACAATAGGTATCCTTGCACTTCGTGCTAGGACGCCGTTGGGTCCTAGCACTCTCGTGCTCGGGCCCTAATAATCCCTTACATTTATTATAGCGCTTTTCCAGATGCTCAAAGCGCTTTACAAATACACATTACACATATCATACATGCAATGGTCACCACTGTGGACAATACCCACAGGAGCAAGTTCAGGTGAAGTGTCTTGCCCAAGGACACAACGGCTTTACAGACGCAGCAGCGGCGGGTTTCACCCCTTGATCTGATGATCATTGCACAGCGCACTGCGCCACACCGTCCATCTTCACGCCTCGAAGTCATCGATGAGATTAAAGTCACATTTTCATTATGCATGAATATTATAGTATAATTTTCTATTCTGTTTTATTTTATTCTCTCTCTTCTGTACAGTATGTGCTAAATTATAAAATGGTATACAAACATACCATATATCAAATGTTAAAGGTAGGCTTCTGTTTTTTGGAAACGCAAACAGAAAAAAAAAAAAAAAAAAGCATTGTTTGTTTGCTTGAGCTTCATGTGATCCATGCATTTCCTCCTTTATAAAAAAATACACAAAGCTGATATTATTATTTATTTCACGAC